AGAGAGGGAGGAGTGATGAGCAAAGGGGTCAAGACCAGGCTGGAGAAACCTACAGAAACAGTTGACCTGAACAAGCACCTCAGACTGATAGCTGGGAAACCAGCATGGGACTGTTCCAAACCCCCTGAATGTGGGTGTCAGTGAGGAGGCCTCAGCAATCTCTGGGGCCTTTGGTAGTAGATCAGTTATTTATCCCTAGTATACAAATAGATTTTGGGAGCCCATTCCACATAGAGGGATACTCTCTCAGCCTAGACACATGGGGGGAGGGTCTAGGCCCTGCTCCAAATGATATGACAGACTTTCAAGATTCCCCCAGGGAAGGCCTCACCCTCCCTGGGAAGCAGAAAGTGATGGGATAGGGGGTAGTGGGGGGCTGGGAAGGAGAGGAGGGAGAGGGAACTTCGATTTACATGTAAAACAAGCTTGTTTCTAATTTAAATAAAAATAGGGGAAAAAAGGATCAGCTGGCATTGTTTTCAGGTGGTTCACACTTGAAAAGGAGGCAGCTGCATGCCCTTCTGATCTAGTTTTATCTGGACATAATTAACACACAACTCACTACCAAACTCAAAGCAAAAGACTGGTCTCGCCTTTAATCCCAGTACATGGGAGGCAGAGGCAGGTGGATCTCTGTGAGTTCGAGGCCAGCCTGTTCTCCAGAGTGAGTGCCAGGATAGGCTCCAAAGCTACACAGAGAGACCCTGTCACGGAAAAAAAAAAGGTGAAATACAGGTGTTCATTATATATGGATTGCCTAATACCATTAAGTTATTCCTTCCTTTTGATTTTTTTGTATGTTTGTTTGTTTGAGACAAGATCTAAGAACCCATGACTGTCCTGGAACTCACTAAATACACCAGGCTGGACTCTCTCTACCTTACCGAAATCTCCCTTTTTATCTGCCTCCTGAGTGCTGGAATTAAAGGTGTGAGCCACCATGTTCTAATTTTTCTATCATTTGAATGAATTATATGTATTTTTCCACTGAGACATGCATCCTGGACCTCTTAGAGAAAGGGCCACAAGCTTATATCCAATCATTCTGTACTGGACATTGGATTAGGTATATTTCTGATTGAGTTTTGGTGACTAAAGGCCTCAGAATTCTGTTTTAGAAGTGTGCTATGTTCACTTTCAGAGGATATCTCATACAAGTTATTATCCAAGTATCAAAATGTGCCCGAGTCTCCAGGACATGTTTTGTTCCTGATTTGTTAACAAGGATTTATCTAATAACTCTCTGGGTGTATGATATTTCATTATAACTGAGTAGATAGGTTGAGATGCTATTGCTGAGATAATTCCAAATAAAGTGAACATCTTGTTTGCTTGTCATTACTTAACCACCACCATAACCAACAGAAATAATTTTGTTCAATTTTGCTTCCTTCTGTTGGGTTCTACAGAATTTTTGGAATGATAAAGTACATCACAGACTTTTGGAACAAAACGAAAATATATTTGGGGGAATTTTGGTGATTAAATAAATTATTTTATGATTCTGAAACATCCCGTATTTATTGAAAAGTAACAGACAGAATAAAAAATAATGTCAGAAACTATACAATTACTCTGTTGTTTTTATGATATAAACTCATGGCTAGTCAATTTGAGTGAAACTTGAATATCCTGGTTGAGGTTTTTAAATGCATAAATAGATCACAGGGCAATGCTGCTTTATGAGAAAAGCTCAAAACACAATGAAGCAAGTTACAATTAAATTTTACAACAGCATTTTAATAGGAGAGATAAGATAATGTATTTGATTCCTTATTTTACTGCCAGTCCTTGACTCTATAGTTTAAATATTGAGTATACTCATCTTTTAAACAGTGGATTATTTTGGCTTGTTTCTACCCCAATTCAAAAGCAAGCAGAGAGCCCAGCATGATAATCAGGTCAATTATATTTCAACAGAGAGTCGGGAAAGACTACACTTCAACACTTCAGCATGATTCTGGACAGCAGCAACAAATGCCAGTTTTCACACAAAGTAGACAAGACAGTAGTACCAAATAATTTGCTCATCAAGAATCTTTCTCACATGTTTCTAATTTTCAAGTAGGGAATATTAAATCAGTAGTCAAAACTTGTCAGGAAAGTCAGATGTAGGAATCAGACCAATTACAAATTGTCTATAGTAGCCAAGTAGTCCTACATATAATCCAACATCCAAATAAAACACAGCTGACCACTAACCAATATTTTAAATTTTTAGATTTTACTTCCTCTGAATTTATATAGAATATATTTATATGAATAATATATATGTCCAATTTAATTAGGCCCAAAACATGTATCAGATCCATAATTGCTCCCCCTAGGAAATCTGATATTGTTGAGAATGAATTAGAATAAAATTTCATTTTTCCATTATTATTCCTTTTAATTCTAATATTAATAGTTATAAGCATGTAAGAACATCAATGTAGAACCAATAACACAAAATTAATGTAGAATAAGAGAAAAACCACATAAGCAGCACCACTTACTATCCACTCCTCCCCACAAGCACCAATAACTAGCAGCAGAAATTATCATAGTCAATCTGGAACAAGACCACTATGGTTCAGACACCACATGAAATCTATTCTGTAGTTAGTTTCCTGGGGAGAAACCATACCATATAAAACTTTGCTTTAGTTTTTAATAAGCACACCCCAGCCATTTCTCACTATCAAAAATGAAAAGGAAAACAAGGCTTGTCTTATCTTGCCTCTAACATTCAAAATACTTGAAAACATCAAAGAAAGATACTATTTTTAAAAAGAGGACACCAAAACCTTGCAAAGGCCAAACTGGACACATAAGGAGATTTCTATTTGTTTGTTTTAGAACATTCTAGTTTCTGGATATTGTTAACATTTGGATATACTATGGTTGTCATTAGCTATGTATCTTCTTTGCACAACTGAAATGTGTCTAGTTCAAATGAGAGGCAATTTAAGTATAAAATATACACCAGACTATGAAGACTTGAGGTAATAAAATATTCCATTAAGAATTTTATATTAATTACATGTTTAAATAGTAATATTATTGGTATATTAATTTAAATATATTTAAATGATTTCAACTGTTCATTTTCACTGCTTTTACATGCAGTCAGTAAAAATGTAAGTTATAGATGTATTTTGCATTGTATTTCTATAGGCACAGTGTAGGCCATAACCTTGATGTAGTAATAAACATAGAAAGTTCTATTCTAGGACTATTATTTTTATGCTGAACCACATGAAACAGCTGTAAAAGCATGTTCCTTACTGAACATCGCTGTCCGCCATAGTCCAATAAGAGGCAGAACCCTAGAATTTAGGGTTTAAATGGGATGGGCAGTAGCATTTGGTATGTAAGTCTTCAAAGTGGGCTCAAACAGATTCTGGCCTTATTTGTTTTTCCAGGTTCCTGAACTCAGTTTGCAATACCTGCTTTAGAGGGAAGCCCTTCTTTTAGAGGGGGAAGTACGAAACAGTCAGCTAAGGGGCTGAGACTAGGGACTAAGTGAGCGTAGAGGATCTGAAGCCCAGCACACAGGAAGGATCCAAACAGAGGGACGGAATGGTAACTGAGAGTTCTCATCCTCCCATTTTCATTCTCTCTGCTTCCTTCTCCTTCCAATCTTCCAACTATCCTTTCCTTCTCATCTGAGATTCATGATTGCTTTCACCTTTTCAACTCGGGTACTTTCCTTTCTTTCCTCCTCGCAGTGATAACCGAATGTAAGTAACAACAAAAACTGTTCAGCATCAAATGTTCCATCAACTCTTTACCCCGAAAGGGTAGCAGCAATTCTGCTTAACTGTACCCTGTGGCAATCACCTCTGGTCCTCCTTTCTGTCTCTCTGTTTTCTATTCTATCTACTACTCTTCAAATTTTACATTACTTGTTCCTAACATGGCCACGTACCCGATTTTAATAATTTTCCTATACTTTTGTCTCTTCATGAAGAAAAAGGAACAACAAATAACATATTAAAAATATTCAAGAACAAGAAATGAGTTATTACTTTTATTGACTGTCTAACAGGTTGTTGTTTCAGTTTGTCTTAAGGGTTAGTACCTTTACCCTTGGGTCTTCCTGGCCTGGAGAAATGTGGTTCAAAGAGAAAGACATAACACCAAGGCCCTATCCAGATTCGGAACAGATTCTTCTGATGGGAATTAAGAATCTTAGGGTTGTAAACTACCAAGATAACTCAGCTACCCATAGTCTTTATACACAGGAGTGTATGAGTGTCTATTGAAAAAGTCTCTAAAAAGAGCATCTGAGTTTTTAACTTTAACTATTGTTTTTGGTATTTGAAATAAGACGAGGACTAGGTAAATTAATTTGAGGCTGAGTTTCCTGAAATAGTGCAGAATAGTTCAGTAAAGACAGTCATTTATGGGAGAAAATAAGGACATTCAACATATATGTGTATATATATATATATGCTAATTCCTACAAATGGGACATACAGTTCCATACTCTGATGAAAAGTGGTTATAGGCTTAAGTAGCTGAAATGCTGCTTTCAGTAAAGAAAAATTTCTGAAAGGGCTAAACCTGGTTGTAGATTCTGTGATTATTGTATTGTGTATACACCATTTTGGGAGTAGATTTTCAGTGACGTTATGATTATAATTCATTGATACAGTCATTTCAGTAATTGGTATGTAAATAAATCAGACCTAAATGCAGACATTATGCTGAATTCTATTTGAATGCTACACAGCTGGGACAATAAATAAAAGAAATATTGGTTGTTGGTGTCTCAAGGCCTTGATTTAATGTTTAACAAATATTCTGAGCATTATACAGTCTATAGCACTAAAGAACTGTAAACCAAGAGAAGATTGTTTGTATACTATGATGGGCTGTACATTAATTCCGAAACAAAAGGAGTAATATAAATTTATATTTCAATAGTTATTTAGAATAAATACTTAAGAAAACCAGTAACCAACTATAAGCCCAAACAAATGCACAAATAGAATCTGAGGTATTAGCAGTCATACCTTATTGTGGGTCTGGGTCTGTCCAACCAGTATGAGAATATTGGATGAGATGATAGATAGGCAGAAGTTAATTAGAATTATGGACCTTTCAGAGCGGATGTACCTAGTCAGAGACAGAAAGAAACATGACAAATTGCACATTGTGTCATTGGTGGGATTAACTGGAAGGGGGAGTTTTGACTCCAGATTTCATGTAAAGATATGGAAAACCATTTTTCATATATATTTTCTTAGGTGCCCAATTTTAGAGTACATGGCATGTGCAAGAGATATTTAGACATTTTTTCTGTACTATGTCAAAATTGACAGAACCAAAGTTATACATCTGTGAGAACAATGAATCCTTTTGTCCTAGATATAGAAAATTTCTTGGAATTACATCAGACATAATCACCTTCTTACATATGGACATATATGTTTATAACCTCTATATAAGCCAATAGGAATACTGAGGCCCAACATTAAAGCCCCACCAAGAGTTTGAAGCAACTCTCCTATATACTAGGAGGACACATTACATTTTGTGAAGCCATGAACATAAGTAGCTACTCAAGCATTTTAACATAGCTAGGCTGTTCCTTATGTCCTTGAATATCTCTTTCAAGAAAAAAAAAAGTAGCAAAAGTCTTTTTTATAAAAATGAATGTACTTCTCAAATGATCATTCACCATTAGAATGGAGTATTCTTGGTGACTGCCATATTTACCCTTAGGATGAAATAGGTATATATAATCTGTTATACAATTTTAAAGTGCACTAAGAATGTAAGTAACAACAAAAACTGTTCAGAATCAAATGTTCCACCAGCTCTTTACCCTGAAAGTGTAGCAGCAAGCCTGCTTAACTGTACCCTGTGGCAATCACTAAGTAATGATACTGAAAGAGAACCTTGTACACGACGTGTATCTGTTCTATTTGTATTGTAACATGGGATCTCATTCCATAGAAGGCCTAGGATTTTCGTGCAATGCTAGATGGAGGAACCAAAGATCTAAAGATACTTTTTGAAAGGTACAGTCTCACAAAGTTCTTTCTCTTTCCTCACCTTATCTTTAAAGAGTATGTAGGCAGCAGCCACATACTCCGGAAATTAAAGCAAATTAAAAACACAAAACACAAAAATTAGGTTTCATAATTTAAGAGAATTTTTCTTCACAAAATAAACCCATATTATATTGGACTAATCTAGGTTGACACACTTAGCACAAAATAGGCTTCAAGAGTTGTTGGACTTTGTTTCTGCATTCTGAGTATCTAAACATAAGATAAAACACACACTGTGGTGTTAATGGTAGCAACAAATTTATGCTGCTCTTTTTTGTTGATGAAGGCTATAAATCTTTTCTAATGTTAATGGCTTCCATGATAATACAAACACACATCTTGACACTATCAAAAGGATTTCAGTGGCATTTTTCTGCTTATAAATAGAAAAAAAAAAAGACAGAGTAATAAAAGACCAACTGGCTGCCCAGAACACTACTGAGATGTTTGCTTTTCTCAACAATACTGAATCACAATGTTGCCATAAATTCTGCTAAGAAATGTCACTACTTTCAACACTGCAATATGACATTTTATATTTTAAAGAAAATTTGGGAACTCTTTATGTCGATAAGTTGACTGAGAGGACATGCTGGATTGCTTTTTGGTGTAACAATGTATTGAAGCTAGTTGTATGGCTGGATGGAAAGAAAACAGCTTAACACATTATCATTATCATCATCATCATCATCATCATCTTTATCAATATTCTCATGATTGCCAATAGTGTTAATAGCCAAGAAAGTGGTATTTCTGACAACTGAAACCAAGGGTATCACAAATGCAAGGCAGGCATTGCCACTGAGCCACACTTCCAACACTGTCAATTTTCAAGAAACATCTGTAATGAACTACATGAGGCAGCTACAAATTTCTAAATAGTATATTATCTATAAAGTAATTCACACAATATTACTTTTGAGAAATCACTAGAAGAATTTGAACCCTATATATTTTTACTACAGAAAGAGGCAAGAAGACTCCCAACTCTCCTAGAGCTGAATCAAAATGTTTTTAGGGTCTATGTACTTGGTGTTTATGAAGCACTTTGAATGAATCACACCACAAGATTCATTTAGAAATTCATGAGTCTTGCCTCTCCTTTCAAGTTGTAATTATTATTTCTTTCAGTTCTCCAATGGATAGATGATGAGATGATGACCATTTAATTCTCAGGAATCCAGATTTTTGCTGTTTCTTGGTAGTCTTTTCTTTAATTCTCAACTTCAGGATAGGTTTTGATAGACAATGATTTCCAGAAATTCCTAGAATTCTCTTGTAGTAACTGATTGTGCCCCTTCTCTGAATTTTAGAAAATTTCATGTGGATCAACAAATGTACCATATACTGATATTGGCTATTCGCGCTCGTGTATGTGTGTGTGTGTGTGTGTGTGTGTGTGTGTGTGTGTGTGTGTGTGTGTGTATGTAGAGGAGGAGACGGGAGGAGCATAACAGAAGGTTGAATTGCTACCTGAACAGAAGTTGCTGAAAACAGAATTTAATTCTAGAGACTCCAATGGGGTAAGCATTATAATGTTATCATGATTCCCTAGTATCTTAGCCAGTTGCTTCATTTTTAAAAAGCCAGTGTCAGTTACTCAACTGGGGGAAGTTGGAGTCTTCCAAGCTTGTCAGTTTGTCTTTACAGAACAATTCTGTTCTCAATGGGGCCATCCCTACAGTAGACCTTTTAAATTTCCTCTTTTACACCACTGTCAGTGTTTCCCAGCTGTATCACCCTATCACAGCAGTGAAGAACTTCTGTTAGGTACCTAGGCCAAAATGTATGCATATTTTCTTGTTTCACAGAACATGAAAAATCCTAATATCTTTGGTAATTTAAATGTCTCTCATAATTAAGTCTTCCTTTAAAAAGAGTGAAAGCCATAATGGACAGTAATGTTTTATTTAGATGTCAATAGTAACCTAAATAAATATCCCTTATTAAATAGTAATTGATTTTAATTTTTCGGATGATTTTATAAGACCCTAAATAAACATAAAAGTCTTTGAAGTAGGCATATTAACTTTTGTAATCTTAAATATATCAAATATTCAGGAAACAATAAACAATTATCTGCATACCGATGTAATGTTGCATCTTAGATCACCTTAACAATGACAATGCTTATAAAACCTTTAACTGTTAAAACTATAAAAGCCATTTAAAAGTTTGGTTGTATGGTACATATACATTGTCAATACATAAGTAGGCATACCAACCCTCACAGGCCAAATTCTTACTAATATCCTGAACAATTACCTAGAAATTACCAAGAAAAATATTAAATTTCTACATACTATTAAATAGATGCAATTTAAAATAGGAGAGAACAAAGATTTCTCAACATTCCCCTTTCATATTTTTATGATATCCTTTTATCAAACTTGTCAAAATCTGACTCACAGCAAACACTGAAGTACATGACCTTTTGTAGAGAACATCGGAATTTTGTTAATGCTTTTAATATCGGGGCAGGCTTCACTCATTGTGCAGGACATACTGGAAGCATGTTTGGCACTTGAGAACTGGATGTCCTATTCCTGTAGAGAGATCCTTGACTGTACCAATTAAGTTCTGAGGCTCAACAGCAATTGAGATAATATCTTCACAGAAAAGGAACTTGTGACATAAAAGAGTTGTGCTTACATGTGAAGAACTTGTTGAAGTCTACAGTAATGTGTGCTAAAGGAAAAGTATGCACATGTGTTTTGTTTATTTTTATCACAGTCAATAAAAGGGAAGAAAGTTAGGTAAATATGGTTCCCATGTTCCAGTTCAATGACAGAAGTTCTAATTCTGTTGTAAAAATGCTGCTTTCAGTATGTGACAAGGACAGTGCACATTCGTGGTTACATCCACTCATTTAACACAGAGAAACTGAGTTCCCCATCTCACATCTACTCATTAATTACATACCTCCATAGTGCTGCATAGACAACTGCTAGGGTGATCAAGGCAAGGCAGGAGAGGCCACTGCCTACGATTAGAGTTACTGAAGGGGTCCCAGAAGATTCCATGACCTGCAAGTTGGTGGGGAGAGAAAATAAAGAGAAATTTCACATGAACAAAAATAAATTCTAGACTCAAGAGAAACTAAACTATCACTCAAGAATGGCAGAAACAGTTGTTATAGTTACCAGATAATTAACCACAGTACACTCAGCACATATTCTCAAGCTCTAAAATGACTAATTCCAGCTCCCCATTCCCTCACACTGGGAAGTAATAAAGTCTTCAGGGTTAATGTTTGATTACAGCCCATTACTTACTTAAGAGTTTTCTAAAGGACCCCAAAACTACAACATAATTCTTAGGTGAAGTTTCTTTGAGTGAAATATGAAGCAGCATGTTTTTTTTTTTCTTAACTAAGTACAGTTTAGTCATTTCACAATATGATTCTTGCTAAGATTTACATTGTCACTCCTATTTATAAATCATTATGTTATGGTACACAGTTACTGCAAAAGATTGAAAGTTTCTGACTTTTGACAACTTTGTTCCGAGTCAAGTATTCTCACATTAAATTTTACTTGCTTGGCTTTCAAGTATAAGAAGAAAATAGAATACTATACTTAAGACCTTCAAGTATATTTTCATATGAACAAATAATGTGGAGATAATTTGCATAGTGCCAGTATCAGTCCCTAAAACCATGACCTTGAAAAACAAGCTTATATCTTTTAAAATCTTTTATATAAATAGAACAAAAATCCACTGATCCAAATGGCTTCTTTTCTTAGACAGTAGCATGACCATAACTAATGAAATCAGCTGTTTTTCATAAATTTTTACATTATAAGTTTGAAGCAAAACACTAAGTGTGCCACAAAATCTATATCAAATTATTAGGTATATACATCATTAAAACAAGTAAAAGGGGTGATTCTTTTTAGGCCAGATTTAGGTAGAAAGTCGTATTCTATCAGAATATTTATTTGTTATTATTTCAATTTTTATAAAATTTTCTCAAAATATATTCGGTGAGAACATTATCTTTCTTTTGGACTGTTATGTACAGCTCTCTCATTCAGAAACTATTTCTTTATTCTTTTTCTTTTTGCAAAAATCTACATGCTTTTAAGGAACGCTTTTACAGTTCCAAACAACCATGTCTCCATGAAAACTTAATTTGATTTAAAAATACACATGTATCCAAGGACACCCTCAGAAAACCTGTACTGAAAATATCCAATGCAGATATGCAATGTGTTCAGCCTTAGTGTCTGGGGTCTTCCTTCTACTCTTAACAGCATTGTCACAAATTTTCTCAGAACATTCTTCCAGCTTTAAAATAAATGTTGAGTTGGCAATTATTTTTATTTGAAAGTTTGCAGAATATTAGTGATATCAGAGTACATCTTCAATACTATATTGCAGAAATATCAAGTTATCAGACATAAAATTGAGTAGAATTTAGTTATTGCACACCAACTAGAATTCATTTCACCGAGCTACTGTAGCTGAGGAGAAGAACCCGATTTTGCCACCCTGCAACCTTTTCTATTTCCCCCTTTGAAATGCAGTTCCCTGGAGAAACACTCGCCACAATGTCCCTGCCTTTGCATTAAAGCCGTGTTTTCCCTTTGTTACTTACTATTTCTCTAGGTTGCTGAGCCAAAATGGCGAAGGTAGAGAGCCGATCACATAAGCATTTCGTATGGGATGCATCGGTAAGCACAGTTTTACATCCCTGGGTGGACCACGTTCCCAAAGACTCGTTCCTGCAAAGGGGGTGGAGGGGAGATCGGGATAAATACGCCTGACAGCCAAGTCTTTACGAAGAAGAAAATGCAGTTTAATTGAGAGAATCGCCTACTGTAATTCCCGTACAGGAAAAAAAAAATCTACTTGTTGTTGAACAGGACGTAATTTAGATGCATCTCCGGTAATGCAAAGCGAGAGTGGGAAAAAAGCAAGCAGGCGGCGGTGCGGCGTGCAGGGAGCTGTCCAGCGCCGGAGGTGCTGAAATCAGGACTAGCTCTGTCCAGCCCTCTGTGAGGAACGGCGGCGGCAGCGGCACCAGCAGCCGCCGCGCGTTGGCAGACACTTGCTATGTTCATCGGATCGTTTCAAACACTCAGAGTGTAAAGAGGCTTTTCATATTTTCATACCAGCTCTGATTCCAGGCCCGTGGTTTGGACCGTGAATGTTGTCTTTAAAAATGCGGATTTCTCTGAAAAGCCTGCCTAAAAGGTTACATAGCTTGGGTTGGGTGATAGAATCTTCTCTGCTGCTGGAAAGGGATTTTTCTTCCCTTTAGAATTAGCTGCTGTGAAAATTTCACCCTGGAAACGGGAAGAGGCATCAGCTGGTTCCGACTCTCACTGCCTTTGCCTGGTATCCAGGGGAGGGGTGGGTTTCAGATGTAAGCTCTCCACTCCACACTTCACTTAGTCCAATACTCCTCTAAAGCCCTTAGTATTTCTTCCCCTACATAATCTTTGTCCAGGATCAGAAACATTAAACAACCCCAAGTCCACTGAATATTTAGAATAAACCCACCCCAAAGTCCAGCAGGATGGGGGATGGGGTCTGGTTCAATATTCTCTTTGGTGTAGCTCTCTTTGGTGTACACTCTCCTTTAAAATGCTAAAGCATATGGTTTCTTTCCCACCCCAGCAGAACAATAAAAATGGTATCAACCTACGTCTTGTTAGTAGAGCTAGTGGCAATGGGGGAGAGCCCTGTCACCCCATGCTGAACTACTCTATAGAAAGAGAGAAAAGGGGGACCTGCAAGGCTCAACCAATCAACTTCATTATCATCACACGTGCTCTGGATTGAATGCACCAATTGTCACTTCCCCTCCCCCAGGCATGGAAACTCTCCAGCTAGGAAACCTGTATGTACGAGTGTATTTAAAATTTAAGCCAAGTTACTATATGTGTTAAAAATGACTCTGAAACTTGAAGAAAATAAAAACAACCACATGGCTTAGTGTTAGTTTCTATGTACTTTTGGTTTTACCTTTTACATTTCTTAATGCCTGAGGCCACTGGGCTAAATGCACAGGCAGTGTGTTTGAGATCAGTGATGGTTTCTCTCTGTCACTCAGATGTCCAACTTAAGCTACAGAGTACAGTCTACACTCTCCCTTTTTTGGTGTCTATAAGTGGTGCCTTTTTAATATTCATGGGTTGATATCAAGAAGGAACACACTATATTTGGGAACCATTAGGTAAAAATTATGACCAATTTTAATGAAAAATCTCAGCATGTTGGCTGCTTCAACATTTTGTAAGCCTCCCATAATATCACTCAGCCACACCAAATTATATTTTAAAACTAAACCTGGTTTTACTTCTAGTGTAACTATTTCAGACTGTAATTCTACCTAACCATAGGCATGTAGCAAACAACTTATTTGATTAGCTGTATGTCTCTCTCTTGTGTGTGTGTGTGTGTGTGTGTGTGTGTGTGTGTATGTGTATGTGTAATCAAACAATCAAGGCCAAATTAAAACCATATATCTCAGCAGGTCAAAGTTTAAAGGAAAATGATATATAAGAATCTGACATGTTTTAAAATACTACAACTTCATTATTAACTCTGGATGGCTGGTTTATGTTAATGCAGTAATTGTCCACTCAAGATGGGGTCTAGCACTTATGACTCCCACGTGATGATTTTATGTTCAATAAATGAATCCAATATCTTAACAAGGAAAAGAACTTCACTGTAAATAAGACCTCAAAGGAGACAAAGTTAGATATTCAGATACATGTAATGAATGTTCATTACTCAAGATATTAGCATCATTATACCCTGACTATCAGATGGATTCAATACAGTGTTGAATAAAATGTAAATTCAATACAGTGTTGCTGAACTCTGAAGATCATACAAATTTTACAAGGTATCTTTAGAAAAATGGATCCATTTGCTTTACTCTGCTTGGTGATTGTGTGTCTGACCTTCTCCAGCCCCAGGCAAAACTGAGAAGTAACTAATTCGGGTTTCTAAGTGACAATCCTTCACTCTTCCCTGTGCTCCTGGTCAACATGCTCCATGTCTTTTTCATGTGTGTCCTCTTGAGACTATATCACCTTTGGCCTTTCTCCAAAGTAGTACCTCTGTAATGACTTCATCTTACAAACAACAATGTACAAAATACTAAATATGGATTAACATGCTTTTCCTTATTTAAAAGAAAATACTAAACACAAAGTACTAAATTTGGTAGGAAGACACCAGAATTTGGAACAAGTTGTATGTGAGGTGACCTGAAAGGTGAGAAGGGAGCTGTCAAGTTCTACATCTGGTTACTATAAAAAGTTGAGTAATAAAAGAGTGATGTTATTCTGATATTAAAATATATATCATTTCCATAAAACGGCTTGTCATTTTATGACCAAGAATTTCTTTCTTTGAGGGGACAGGCTCCCACCTAGATTAGGCTGGCCTCAAGCTCCCTATGTAGCTGAAGATGACAGTGAACTTCTGATACACCTGCCTCTACTTACTGGGTGCTGGGATTACATGTGCCACCAAACCCAGTTTATACAGTGCTAGTGATTCTACCCTAGGCTTTGTGCATGCTGTAAAAACACTAACAATTGAGCTATATCTCCATAAAACTCTTCAGTAGGCTTTCAATTATTAGCGTATTTCTATTATTATAAACCCTCTGGTGTGTGTTCCCTGTATTTCCAGACTTTTCAAGGCTTACTTTTACTGTAGAATATTCTTTAAAAGCATGGTACACATGTCTGATTCATTTCAAGGTTAGACTGTAAAGCAAACTGATAGTTGGTTGATCTAATGGGAAGCAAGAGAGTTGTCCTGTGCAGCATAGGGCATGGTTCTTAAAACATGTTTACTGTTATGGCTATCACACTATTATTTCTGTGTCATGATTTGCATGCTACAATAAAGGGTGTAACTCTGATATTTTTTTAAAAAAATTAATGAAGGTTAGGTTGTCATTCACAGAGGAAACATCAGATACAGTGAAATGTATGTGCAATGTGAAGATATAATAAAATAACAGACCAATGATGTCAGAAGTAGATGCAATGATACAGTCATCTACATTATACTCAAAAATCATACATTTCCTTTTCATAATGTCTTTCTGTACATTACGCAATTTTTAAAAATAGTCTTTAAACATAGCTATGCTTGAAGAAATTCCACACAACCAGTGGATTCTTTGTCGGCTACACCTACATTCATCAATGTTAGCTATTAGCTGTCACCTGTACATGTCTTTCTTCCTATTATTAGGCTGGCTAAAAGGGGAACATTTTTCTGCCCCAAGGATTTAAGTGCATCAAAAAAATGCAATAGAATGCTAGAATAAGGATTCTAATGGTGTTTACTTTATAACTTAATATTTATTTGAGGTCTTTATGTAATTTTCTAAGCATCTACCTGGATGATTTTTGAACCTCAGTACTGGTGACAATTTTTAAATTTATTTTTTAAAAAATATAGCATTTGTATATATCCTCTAATGCTTATATACATATATATCTTATGTATAAAGATTATAAACACACACACACACATATAAGAGTAACATTAATATGAAATATTTTAATTATTGGGTGATTTTTCAACCACCAGGAACTTGGGAACCACAAAGAAAATTCCTGGAATTGACACTGACCCTTTTATACTATACTACAGATTTATAATTAGTCACCTATAAATGAGGGGCCAACAAGATATCTCAGCTGGTTAAGGGCAGTTGATGCCAAGCCTGAAGATCTGAGCTTGATCCACAAGACCTACATGGTGGAAAGAGATAACTGACTTTCACAAGTTTTCCTCTAACCTACATGTGCACACACACAAATACACATAGAGAAAAATAAATAAAATATAAATTAATTAGTTCCAAGAATTCTCAGTGCTTTGTTGATCTTTAATGTTCCCACGGATTTAATGGTCCCATTTATGAGGTTAACCCTTGCAGTGCCACATAGAATTCTTGGTGTTTTAGAAAACTTGCTTTGAATCCCTGATTTGATGATTTTCACTTAGTAGAGACATAATGAAAAACTATTCTATCAACATAACGATTTTTTTGGTGGTTTTAGCGAGGCTTTTGAATCCAGGTAGACTGTCTCAGCTCTAACCCACTTTCTATCCTTCAGAACCAAGTGGGCATATAATCTGAAGAGTACCAGTGGCTCTTCATAGATTCATCTATTTGCCTCTGGATTCCATCATCATTTAGTGATAATCTCAGAAAGATTCAGCATCTCTTTGGTAATTATGCTCCTTCCAGTGGAGAGGCCCGCATCAATACCAGTTCATTGAATGATTTCCAAATGCTTGATGAGGGAGAAGACACACATAAAAACAAATAAATGTCATTTTTTAAAGAAAGCTGAAAGCCTGTTAGGGATGACTACCAGCAACCCTAGAATATGCTTTCTGCATTATTAAGTCAACAAAATATTGTAGAAAATGTTGTAGGATCTGCCCTCAATGTCTCAGTCACCATCATCTCTAGCTTGACTCAATCTGCTGCCTGGTTTATTGTTTCCATTTTTGCCTCCTCTCTCAAGTCCAACTCAGAGAGGCCACACATACTCTAGTGTCAAGTTATATCACTCAGTAAAAATTCTGTCAATTTTTTTTTGTAGTTTTTATCTTTAATTTCCCACCTCTAGCTCACAGTAAAACACAGAGTCCTTATAATGGTCTGCAACCCCTGTACTGTTTTGCCCCCAACTGTCTCTCCACCATCATCTCTTAAACTTTTGCATGT